CAGACAGACAGAGACAGAGAGACAGAAAGCGAGAAATCACCCCCCAGGGGGGCTGGCCACACCGCAATCCCTTCTCCTCCATTCTCCTTTGGGCGGGATCTTGGACATGCACACACACGCGCCCGGCGTGAGTTTAAGCCACCGGGTCCGGGACGCGAACCGCAGGTGACTACATGGGAGTCCAGTGACATAGCCATGACGCTAACTGCTGGTCCCTCTCTGACTATTTTTAAGATTGCTTCTTGGGAACCAGCAGTTAGCGTCATGGCTATGTCACTGGATTCCCACGTAGTTGACTGCGGTTCGTGTCCCGGACCCGGTGGCTTAGAACTCACGCTGGGCGCGTGAGCGTGCGTGCCCAAGATCCTGAGAGGAGAATGGAGGAGAAGGGATTGCGGCACGGCCATCCCCCCTGGCGAGGCGATTTATCGTTTTCTGTCTGTCTGTCTGTCTCTGTCTGTCTGGCGAGCACACGCGCCCTATAGCAAAAACTTCTCCAAAAAAAAAAAAAAAAGATTGCTTCTTTTATATGTAAACACTTTGATTATAATGTGCCTTGGTGAATTTTCTCCTTTTTTTTTTTTAATGTTTGAGGTTTGATGAACTTCTTTGATCAGTTGGTTTATAGTGTTCATTACATTTGCAAAAATAAAATTTTATCAAATTTGGCTATTATTATTTCAAATATCCCCCTCCGTGGGTCTCTTGTTACATGTCGACTAAGCGACTAGAAGTTCCACAGCTCTGTTTAGACTGTTTGTTCTATGTTTCATTTTGGAGCGTGTTACTGCTAAATTTCAAGTTCGTTAATCCTTTTTTCTGTAGTGCCTAATTCACGAATTATATGCAGTGTAGTTTTTACTCTCTATTTCTGAACAGATGCAATGTAGTTATAATAACTTTGAATATCTTTATGTACTAATTCATCACCTGTGTCAATTTTCGAGTCTGTTTCAACTGATTGATTCTTATTCTCATTATGGCACATACTTTTCCGCCTTTTATGCCTGGTGGTTTTTTAACTGGATCTTAGATATTGTGGATTTTACTCTGCTGAGTGCTGGATATTTTCGGGGTCTTATAAATATACTTGAACTTTGTATGAAAATAAGTTCAGTTCTTTTTACTCCATTTCAGGTGAGGTGGAAATCCTGAGTTATGATTTTGGACTATTTTACTAGTAGCCATTGGGAGACTGATTTAGTGATTTTGATCAAGAGCATTGGTATGAAGAACTTGAGTTTTGCAGAGCTTATTCTGTACTGCTGGAAACTTGAGCATGGAGTGAAATGAAACAGGAAGCAGGGAGATGATGAGGCTGCTGCTGTTGTCCAAGTAAAGGATGACGAGAGTTTGAACTGTTAGGGTGATCATGAGTGATGCTGGGGTAGGGAGCATGTTCAGTGGGTATTTAGAGGATAGACTTGATATGACTTTCTTTTTTAAAAATTTTGTATCCAATCATAGAGCTTTCACAGCTTTATAGCCTGCCAACCACCCTTTCTTCATTACAGTTAAAGAAGGTTTCTGCCATAGAGTATGTGTGCTCGCCAGAGAGAGACAGTAAGAGGGCAAGTGAGAACACCACAACCCCTTCTCCTCCGTTCTCTTCCTGGGATTTTGGGCATGCACACACATGTGCCTGGCATGATTTTCAACCTCCAGGTCCGGGATTTGAACTGTGGTTGGCCATGTGACAGTCTAGTACCTTTATTTTTTTTTCAAATAATTATTTTATTTAACTTTATTGATTTGTTTATTTATTTAGTTAGTTAAATTTGACCAGAGAGGGAGAGTGTCAGAGAGGGAAAGTGAGAAAGCAAGTCACCAGATCTGGGACTTGAACCCATAGTTGGCCATGTGAGAATCCAGTGCCCTCAATCACTGTGCCACCTGCCAGCCCCTATGCTTTTCTTACTATTTTTCTCAACATTTTTCCTTCTAAGTTGTTGAATTTATACATTATCAATGTACTGTGAGTATATAGAGACTAAAGTTGTGTAGCTGCTGATTTATTGTTTTTAATTGCATATCTTGTTCTCTGTATGTTCTGTCCAATTTTAAAATGCATTCTCGAGCCAATTGGTGGCACGATATTTGGGGTGGCCAGATTCGACATGGCTGACTATGCAGTTCGAGTCTCAGACCTGGCAGCTTTAGAAACACAGTGGGTACTGGGCTCGTGTACACGTGTGCAAAAAATTCAGAGAAGAAAGAATTTTTTCATGGCCATCATGGGAGGGAGGTGTTCCTCTTCTCTCTCAACTCTTTCTCCCTCCTTGTTCACATTTATAAAAGCCTGTGGGCTCTTTGCTAAGTTTAACTCTGGAAAAAAATAGTTTAAAAAAAAAAAAAAAGATTGCTTCTTTTATATGTAAACACTTTGATTATAATGTGCCTTGGTGAATTTTCTCCTTTTTTTTTTTTAATGTTTGAGGTTTGATGAACTTCTTTGATCAGTTGGTTTATAGTGTTCATTACATTTGCAAAAATAAAATTTTATCAAATTTGGCTATTATTATTTCAAATATCCCCCTCCGTGGGTCTCTTGTTACATGTCGACTAAGCGACTAGAAGTTCCACAGCTCTGTTTAGACTGTTTGTTCTATGTTTCATTTTGGAGCGTGTTACTGCTAAATTTCAAGTTCGTTAATCCTTTTTTCTGTAGTGCCTAATTCACGAATTATATGCAGTGTAGTTTTTACTCTCTATTTCTGAACAGATGCAATGTAGTTATAATAACTTTGAATATCTTTATGTACTAATTCATCACCTGTGTCAATTTTCGAGTCTGTTTCAACTGATTGATTCTTATTCTCATTATGGCACATACTTTTCCGCCTTTTATGCCTGGTGGTTTTTTAACTGGATCTTAGATATTGTGGATTTTACTCTGCTGAGTGCTGGATATTTTCGGGGTCTTATAAATATACTTGAACTTTGTATGAAAATAAGTTCAGTTCTTTTTACTCCATTTCAGGTGAGGTGGAAATCCTGAGTTATGATTTTGGACTATTTTACTAGTAGCCATTGGGAGACTGATTTAGTGATTTTGATCAAGAGCATTGGTATGAAGAACTTGAGTTTTGCAGAGCTTATTCTGTACTGCTGGAAACTTGAGCATGGAGTGAAATGAAACAGGAAGCAGGGAGATGATGAGGCTGCTGCTGTTGTCCAAGTAAAGGATGACGAGAGTTTGAACTGTTAGGGTGATCATGAGTGATGCTGGGGTAGGGAGCATGTTCAGTGGGTATTTAGAGGATAGACTTGATATGACTTTCTTTTTTAAAAATTTTGTATCCAATCATAGAGCTTTCACAGCTTTATAGCCTGCCAACCACCCTTTCTTCATTACAGTTAAAGAAGGTTTCTGCCATAGAGTATGTGTGCTCGCCAGAGAGAGACAGTAAGAGGGCAAGTGAGAACACCACAACCCCTTCTCCTCCGTTCTCTTCCTGGGATTTTGGGCATGCACACACATGTGCCTGGCATGATTTTCAACCTCCAGGTCCGGGATTTGAACTGTGGTTGGCCATGTGACAGTCTAGTACCTTTATTTTTTTTTCAAATAATTATTTTATTTAACTTTATTGATTTGTTTATTTATTTAGTTAGTTAAATTTGACCAGAGAGGGAGAGTGTCAGAGAGGGAAAGTGAGAAAGCAAGTCACCAGATCTGGGACTTGAACCCATAGTTGGCCATGTGAGAATCCAGTGCCCTCAATCACTGTGCCACCTGCCAGCCCCTATGCTTTTCTTACTATTTTTCTCAACATTTTTCCTTCTAAGTTGTTGAATTTATACATTATCAATGTACTGTGAGTATATAGAGACTAAAGTTGTGTAGCTGCTGATTTATTGTTTTTAATTGCATATCTTGTTCTCTGTATGTTCTGTCCAATTTTAAAATGCATTCTCGAGCCAATTGGTGGCACGATATTTGGGGTGGCCAGATTCGACATGGCTGACTATGCAGTTCGAGTCTCAGACCTGGCAGCTTTAGAAACACAGTGGGTACTGGGCTCGTGTACACGTGTGCAAAAAATTCAGAGAAGAAAG